TGTTTTTATAATTTTTTTTTTTTTTTTTTTAAATTTTACCTTTTTAACTTTTTATTTATTATTAATGTAGATTACTTGGGTGATTGAGGATTTGAATCAAATAATGAAGTTTGGGAAATAATAATAATTGCTAACAAATCAAACTTTTTTTATATGCTTCTTTTTTTTTTTTTTTTTTTAAATTATAATTTTAATTATTTTTATTTTTTTATTTTGTTAAAATAATCATATTAGTTTGTGTATTATTTAAAAAAAGGGAAAAAATTATATTATTTTAATATCGATTATCAAGACCATAAAGAGATTTATCAATAAAAATAAATAACAAAAATTTGATAATATATATACTTACAATTAAAAAATTAAAAATATAATAAAAAAAAAATGAATAAAATTTTTTTTTTAAAATAAAAAAAAAAGAGGTTATAGTTGAATATATATATACATATCAATAGTGTGATTTGTTTCAAAACAACCCACACCCACACTCCATAATATTAATACACCTTCCAAATTAAAAATAAAAAAAATAAAAATAAAAAAAAAAATATTTAAAATTTTTATTATCCCACACTAACAAGTTTGAAAAGATATAAAAAATTAAATAAGATATACCAAAAAAATCCAAATTCTTTAATATTAAAATTAGAATTTGGTTTTTAAATAATATTTATAGTGCGAGATAAAAGTGTATTATTTTAATAGTTTATTATTATCAATTTTAATTATATTAAAACTTCTAAATGTTTTAATCAAAATAAAACAAAAATTCATTATTATTATAATAATCTTTTCAATTTAAATTAAATGATTAATCAAGATTTAATAAGAAATTTATACAAATTTAAATTTCGAACATGTTCAATTTTTTTTTGCCATGAAAAAAGACCTGGATTGCCTAAATTTACAAAATTGTTTGATATTTGATATTTTTCGAAAATAAGGAAAAAAACATCCAAATTAATATTTAAAAGAAAAAAAATGTGTTTGCTTTCAAATGTTTACCACCACATCATAAAAAAAAAAAAATTTTAAATGGACAGGAAGAAAAAAAAAAAAAAAAAAAAATAACTATATAAGTATGATATTTATACTAATAATCATATAATAATAAATATCTAATGTTTTATGTGTATTTTAACCACACCCATATATCATAAATGATTTATTATAATATATTAAAATAAAAAATAAAATTATTTAAAAAAATAGTTTTTTTTTTTTTTATTTTTTTTAAAATAAATTTTAAAATTTTTTTTTTTTTTTGGTTTTTTTTTTTTTTTAATTTTTTTTTTTAATTTTTTTATTTTTTTTAACCAAAACATTATAAATAAAATATTTTAAATTATAAATAAATAAAAAAAGTAAGATTTATTTCTTTGGATATTTCAATAAATATGAAATATTAACATTTCATTTAAAATCAACCATTTTATAGAGTTACATATACTAACAATAGTTTTATTTTAGAAAGAAATTGAAAAATAAAAATACAAAAAAAAAAAATATATTATCTTTAGGGTTTATTTATATAATTGGTACAATAATATCATCCTTTTAGTTTGTTTTTTTTTTGTTTTCTATTTTTTTTTTTTTTTTTTCATTTTTATTTTTATATATATTTATTATTTTTTTTTTTTAATATAACATTGTTGTAAAAAAAGAAATTTTTTTTTTTTGTATTTAAAACTCAAACTATAATCTAATCAAATAATAATAAGAATAGTAATAATAATAATAATACACATTCAATATTTAAAATTTAAAATAATAAAAAATGGAAGAGGATGATGAAACAAAAAGATTAAACGAACGTCGCCGTATTAGAGAGGAAAGAAGAAAGAAACAAGAAGAAGATGAAAAAAAGGAGGAACAAGCTAGAAAGCAAAGAGAGGATGAGCGTAAATTAAGAAAAGAGCAAAGAAATAAAGAGAGAGGCGAAAGAGAAGAAAAACAAAAGAAAGAGTTGGAAGATTATATAAAGAGAAGTGAAGATGAACGTAAACAAAGAAGAGAAGAGCGTGAAAGACGTAGAGTGGATGAGGAAAGATTAGCAAAAGAAGAGGAAGAAAAGAGACGTAAATTATTAGAAGAGCGTGAAAGAAAGAGAAGAGAGGAAGATGAAGAGAAAAAAAGAAAGATTAAAGAGTTGGAAGAATCACGTAAACGTATCCTCAAAGAATTGGAAGAGGAGGATAATAACTCGCAAGTTGAATCAATATTATCTTTGAAAAAGAAACGTTTAGCAATTAGACAAAAGATTGAAACCATTTTATCAGCCATCAATCCAAGTAACAATCAATATACAAAAGCAGGTGTAACCATCGAGGGATTTGCAGAGCCAACAAAAGGGGATGAATCAGTTATTGGTCTATTATTAACTGATGAACTTAAAGAAGAAGTTATCGATTTGGTTGCAAGTGGTTTTAGAACTCTCATTGATTATTTATCGCAGCCTTCCTCATTAGCCACAATGGTCGAATTCTTAATTGATATTCAGGTCGGTGCCAAAGTATTCAATGCCAAGCAAGATATTATGAATGGAACTGCTTCAATTGAAATTAAAAATTGGTTAGCAAGAATGCAAGCTTCCTATGAAATCCTAAAAGGAGGTATCCCAATCATTGCCAAAATTATAACAGACCCAGTAAACTCATCAGTTTTAGATATTTTATTCAGTATGATTTCAAATCCACCACCTATTTCACTCACCAATATGCACATTTTCACCGATTTAGTCACCAGCTTTATGAGCAGAAAACCAGAGATGCTCATCTATATCTGTGACAACAAGGATACAATTTTACCATCATTTATGCAACATCTATCAAGCTCAGAAACTGTAGATTTATTATTGAAAATGGCAGAAGTTGAAATGACTCAATTTAATGAAAACTCTTCAAGCTCATCTAGCTCTGCAGCATCCTCCTTCTTCTCACTTTTTACTGGCAGCAGTTCCTCTAATAGTAGTAGCAGCAGCAACAACAACAACAAAGAAAAACCTCATTGGACCAGTGAATTAACACCATATCTCATTCTTAGAATCAATGAAATTTGTAATCTTGACAATGTTATTATGGATCAATTGGATTTAGAGATTGATAACATTTGCAGATTGATGTCAGAGTTAATTAAAAAGTATCCAAAATCTAAAGTTGCTCATCATTTATGTGGTCAATCTTTCTCAAATGCCGTTCTTAGAAATGGTTTTAAATTGGTACTCTCCCTTCCATATAGTTCTCCAGTTTCATCTTCAATGTTAACTTTAATGTGCACATTAATCGACTCATCTATTGCAATGACCCAGTTAACTTCATCATCAACTAGTGCTCCAGAACATCCATCAGTCATCAATCATTTATTCAAACAAATTGTCGTGGTCGATATTCCAGGTACCGATGGCGAAACTAGAGAGCTTTCGCCAATAAAAGCAATCTATGAAGTTTTAAACATTAAAGATTATAGTGAACCATTTAATGTAGTTCGTCTCAAATCTTTACACTTGGTAAACTCTATGATCAAAGCAAATATCCTCAAATTAGATAGAGAAATATGGGAATCTGGTATTTTAAAGAAGACAATTGATATCTTTTTCGAATATGAAGCCAATAATGTAATTCACTGTATGGTCGAATCTTTCCTTACACCATTAATTCAACGTTGTTTAGGTTCCGATGATGAAGAATTTATGTGTCATTTATTGAAGGATTGTTCATTTATCTCAAGAGTTGTAAATATATTAAATGGTGGCAACAGTAAAAATCCAATGAATAGTAGTAACAGTAGTATTAGTAGTAATAATAGCAACAGCAATAGTATTGGTAGTATAAGTAGTAGTTCTGGTAGTGGTGTAGCTAATAGATTAACTGCATTATTTGTAAATACTAAAGATGAACCAGAGCCACCAAAATCAGAACCAGTCATTGGTGCACCAGCTCCAGCTATTGGATCACTATCAAGAGGTGGTGGCAAAAAAATTAGAAGAAAAGTTTCATTCTTTGGTGGTGGTGAAGAGGAAGAAAATAATAGTAATGGTACAAATGAAAATTCAAATGGTGATTTAAAACTTGCAGTTGGCGACTTATCAACCTTTTTACCAAACGAATCAAAAATTAATGTTGAACAAGAAGAAACAACAATAGAAAAGAAAAATTCTAATGGCAGTATATCGGCATCCATTTCTTCATCTTCTTCCTCATCCTCATCATCATTACTTAAACGTACCTTGTCATCTTCGTCCTCATCTTCATCCGATAAAAAGAAAGAAAAAGAAAAAGAAAAGGAATTAAAAGAATTAGAAAAAATGAAACAGAAAGAAAAGGAAAAAGAGTTATTGGAAATGTTAAAATCTCAAAAACTATCTTCAGATCAAGAAAAAGAAATGAAAGCTCAAAGAAAACAAGAAAAGAAAGAAAGAAAACAAAAAAGAGAAGAAAAGAAATTAGCTAAAAGATTAAAAGAAAAAGAAAGAGAAAATAAAGAAAAATCTAAATCAAAATCTGCTTCTTCAACCATTTCATTAGTTAGTAATGCAATCAATAAAGATAAAAGATCATCAACCTCATTAACATCATCACAACTTGCCTCAATCAATAGTAACAGTGGCACCAATAACAACAGCAATGTAATCACCACCACCACAAATACAACCACTACCACCACAACCACAACTACCAATACAACCACCACAACCACCACAACCACTACTAAACAACCAGTTTCAGATCAATCAAGTGATACAAGCAGTGATAGTGGCTCATCAATTGATGTTTCTAAATTATCATTAAATGATTTAGATAGTAATTGTAGTAGTAATAATAACGATGAATCAAACATTAATATTGAAGATATTGAAAGTATAGAATCGATAGAAGAACAGTCAATTGTAGTTGTTTATCATGAAAATGATAAAGAAAGTAATATAAATAATAACGAATCATGTAATAATAGTAATAGTAATAATATAAAATCAGAAAATATAATAGATAATAATAATAATAATAATAGTAATAATATAAAAGTCGAAAAGAAGAGAGTAAATCATAATGTAGGTCATATAATATCATTATGCATTGAAATTACACATATTGTCAATAAGAGTAAGAATCAGTTATTAAGAGACATTGTCGATGAATGTTGTTCGTTCCAAGGTCAATGGGATGAAGTTGTAGTACCCAAGCTTAAACAAGAAATCTCTCATAGATCAGTTAAACCAATTGGTACCGTTTCAATGCGTAAAGGTAGAAAGGGTGGCCCACCAACACCATTCACAAACGTCGAATATTTCCCAAATACTGCAAATGGTGTACCAATTCCACCAACCGAAACTACTTCAAAATTCTTCTTTTAAAACAATATTAAATCATTATATTTTTAATATTAATATTTGAAAAAAAAAATATAAAAAAAAATTTAATAGCAAATTATAAAAAAAAAAAGAAAACAATAAAAAAATATTTATTAGTAAAAAGAATAAAATATAATTACAATATAATACTTTTATAAAAAAATTGATAGAAATCAAAAATTTCATAAATTTAAAAAAAAAAGATTTGTTATATTTTAATAAAAAGATTTTTTTTTTTTTTTTTATTTTAAAATTGTTTAAACTCTTTTTTTATAGTTTTTAAGATAAAATAATATAGCAACGGTATAAGTTACAACCTTTTCTTTAACTAAGAACATAAATGCAGCACCTAAAACAGTTTGGACCATTTTGGATGGCATACCTTTAAAGAAACCAAGGAAACCATCAGTCTTTAAAATTCTAAAAATGGCATCTAATGTACCTTTATATTCATTGTTACCTTGACCATTTTGTGTTTGTAATCTACTTTTAACTAAAAGATATGGGTATGTAACAACACCTGCAATTAATTTGGCAATTGCACCCAAAACAAAGATTTCAAGACCACCCTAAATTAATAAAATAAACCAATGTTAGAATAGGTGTATTGTTATATAATATAGATTTATAGATTTGTTTTTATAACTTACTAATTTTGATCTACCAGTTTGTTTTCTCCATAAACTTCTAAGTTTTTCATAAGAAACAAATTGTACTGATGGATTTGAAACTAAAATTAAGGCTGGGATTAAACCTTTATATAAACCGCCATAACCTTCATTTTTAACGATATGTTTGAATTGACCTACAATACCTTTGTCAGAGTTTAATTGAAGACGAGTATTAACAACCCAAATTGGTAAGGTTGTTAAAACATTTGCACAACCTGCCAAAGCTGCAATAACAATATTTTCTAAGGTACCTAATTCACTCTTGTTTTTGACTTTTAACGAAATTGATTTTAATAATGAATACCAATAATAATATACAAATGATGATGCACCAATACCAATCAATGCAGATTTTAACCCGCTGTATAAAGTAGTCCAATGTTCTTCTTTAATAATTCTTTTAAATGCATCAATTGAGTTTTTATATGGTACTGCTTGAATTTCACCTTGTTGCTTTTGTTGTTGTTTTTTTTGTTGAACTAAAATAATAATAAATTATTAATAAATAAATTGTTTAGTTATAAAAAAAAAAAATAAAGAAAAAAAACATATCTTTTTTTTTAAAAAAAAAAATATTTTATATATAAAACTTACCTTGTAAACGAGTGGATACTGTTGAAAAAGGATAGGTTAAGGCAATAGTTGCCATACCTGCAACACCACCAGCCATAGCATGGCCTAATGCTTCAACGGTATGATCTACACTTCCAGAGTTTTGGGTGATGTGAACTTTTTCTGACATTGTTATTTCTTTGCAATATAAAATTATTAAGATTTTAAAGACAAAGTTATTGTATTATAAATAAAAAAATTATTTCTGTATAATTAAATTAAAAAAATTTAAAAAAATTTAAAAAAAAAATTAAAAAAAAAAAAAAATATTTTTTTAATTAAAAATAAAAATTAAAAAAATATATATGGGAATCCCAAGGGTATTTTTATTATTATCTGGTAATGAATTAAATAAATTTTTTTTTCATTCCTTTGTTGATTTTTAAAAATAAATATTTAAAAATAGATTTATTTAAACATTGTTTAAATAATTTTAATATTCTTATTAGAATTGAAATTATTTTGAAAATTATTGGAATAATTTTTTTATAGTTAAAAAATGAACATATATTCAATAGATAAAAATATAAAAATTAATATAAATTGAATTTGATATACTAAATGTAGTCTTTCGATATCATTTTTTAAATATTGATTTAATAAAAAAAAAATATTTTAATAAAATAATTTTTCAAAATTTTTTTTTTTTTTTTTTTTTCATTTTTTTTAAATTATTTTTTTTTACCTTGTATTTTTTTAAAATTTTCATTATATTTATTTATTTTATTATTTATTCTTTGTAACTACTATAATATAAATAAAGAGTTAAAGGGATAGTTAAATAAATAATAAATAATTACATTTATTTTTTATTTAAAGTATGGATTTAATTCGTGCTTTAGATATTTTATCTGCACAGGTTGATACAGGTGATGATCACAATTTGAGAAAAGAGAAAATTGAGGCATGTAGAACCATTTCTGAACAAATTTGTGCACCATCACTTAGAAATACAGCAGATTTTCCCAGGTTTTTATCAATTGCCATATCGTTGTTATTAAGAGCCCATGGTGATAAAGATTTAAATGTCTATTCAGTTGCAGAAGAAAGTTTAAATAGAACTATAAAAGTAATTAGTTATTTTAAAATTCATTATTAACAGTTAAAAGTAGAGTTGTAAAATTAACATATTTATTTATTTTTATTTCAAGATTCTAATTTATTCATATCATGAAAGAATTTTATTCGAATTATTCAAAGTTTTAAAAGGTAAACCACAACAACAGCAAGATGGAAAAAGATTATCAACATCATATAATGGTTCAGAGATTTCAAATAGTTTAGCAACTCAAGGAGGTTCAATACCATCGACACCGGTAATGAATATGGGAAGCAACTTAAGCTCAACAAATACAACACCATCATTTTCGTCACCATTATCTTCAAATAATTTAACCAATATTATAAATAATTTAGGTGGATCAACACAAACACCAACCCCATCTTCATCATCCAATGCAAATTCACTATTTAATACAGCAAGTCAAATTTTGTCGAAACCATTCCCAATTAAATCACAACGTATAGCATTGGTAAAGTTTGGTGAAGTTTGTAGTTTTATCAGACCTTCGAAATGTAGAAAATATATTTTATCTTTGGTACCACCTATTAATATTCTCTTACAAATTCATGACGATGAATCACTTCAAGAAAGTATTGCAACATCAATGGAAAATATTTCAAAAATTTTAATACCTTATCTCAAAGAAAATGAGGTTCACCAATTAATCGATCTTTTCGCTAAAAATTTATCTCAAACCTCTGCTGCAGTACGTCGTGCTGCTTCACTTTCAATCACTTCAATTTGTAGACACTATCCAAAACCTCTCTTCGAATATACGATTGAATCCCTATTTAGTTATACTTTTCCAAATTCTCCTCCAATTGCCTCAATAACATCGTCTCAATGTATACCAAATTCAACATCTACAAACACTCAATCAAATTCGAAAATATTGGGTGTATTGTTTTCATATTTGCAATTAATAAAACTATCTGAAGAATTATCATGTATGTATTATATATAGGTATTAATTATCTTATTATAAAAATATTAATATTTTTTTTTATTGCAACAAAAAAATTAGTGAGCGATATAAAAATTTTAGATTCATTTTCATTAAAAATTCAATTTTTTGTACATTTTATTTTAAAATATATTCAGTTACCCGATAATGACAATGAACAATACGATCATAATGTTGTAGGTTTAAGTTTGGAGTTATTACAGCAACTTTTAGTTACATTTGGACCATATGAACACTCATGGCCTAAACCATTGGTTCAGCAGGTTATTTCACAACTTCGTTCTCTTTGCTTTCAACAACACGCTTCAATAAGAGTTAGTCTCAAAGCCGTGGTTTTAAATTGCTTGGCACAATCAGTAAAATATTTCCCAAAACTATTTAATCAGGAATTCTTTTCAAATGTAGATATTAATAATAGCAGTGGCAGTTGCAATAGCAATAATAACAAGCAATATCAACAACAAAATGCATATATATCATCTATTTCACCATCAGACTTAAATTTTAAACTATTCACGCCAATTACCCAACAAGAACAGCAACAGCAAAAATCACAAGGCGCACCACCATTATCAGCATCAACTGCAAGCACAAATCAATCATTTTTATTTAATCTTGAACCAAAAGAAGAGTTTTTAAATTATTTAACCGATAGCGATCCATTACTTCGTGGTGGTACTGCTTTAATGATAGGTTGCTTAATTAGAGGGTTCTTAGAAACTGATCATATAACTAGTAATCAAATTTATCCAACTGATGTGCCATTACTCCAAGATAATATATCAATTCCAACACTTTTAATTTTCCTTTTACGTGCTTTGATGGATTCTTCATCGGTAACTGCAAAACTAGCATGCACTGGTATAGGAGAGTGTTTACCAACACTTTGTCAAAGCAAATATTCCGATTGGGCTCTTGTAACCTTACGTCATTTATTATGTGTCAGTAGTTCAACCTATTGGTTAGTCAAATTAGAAATTTTAGAAACATTATCAAAAATCGATTATATAGTTATAGAGTACTTGGAACAAAATGTTCAACATCGTTCAAATGTAATGAATGTTAGTATAAATAATAGTACCGATGGTGGTTTAAATAATAGCACAGGTATAAATAATAGTAGCAGTAGTTCTGGCGAAAAGGAAACTGGAGGGGCAGTTGCTATACCAATTCAATCAAAAGTTTTGGATTTCTTAATTGAACAACTTAGCGATAACGATTTTAGAGTTAGAAATAGTGCAGGTCAAGCTTTGGTCTCAATTATACCAAGATTGGTATTTACAGCACCATTGGAACGCCATTCAATGAAGGGAATATCGTCAAATGTTAGAGAAAGCTTTGATGTACCAGATTACGAGAATACAGTTTTAAAAAAGAGAAAAATCTTTGCAAATCTTTCTCATGTAATTGGTTTTTTAGTTAATCAATTATCAAATCCTCACCCAGATGATAAAATACGTGGTTGTTATCATGCTTTAAATTTAATTTGCCAAACATATTCTTTCCCACCAGATACACCCCAAGAGTGTCGTTCTCTATCATCTATTCTTCCAAATCCAATGCTTTCTTTTGTTGGTGATATTCTACCGTTAGCATTAGATAGAGTTGGTCTTACATGGGTAGCCACCGATTTCGATGTTCACATCGATATTATCGAGGTATTGGGTTATCTTAGCAGAGGTGCAGAAAATGTTCTAGGTTCTTACTGTTATAATGTTTTAAGACATATTGTTCGTATAATTAATATTGCAACTAATATTATTCAATTCCGTCCTACACCACCATTAAAGGAGGTAAAGAGTAATCCAAGTGGCATCGTAAATTCACCACTTTTGAAAGCTCCAACTCATTTAGGTGCCTTTACTCATTCAATTCATTATATTAAACTCTACTCTAAACTTTTGGCAGCTCGTGTAAACTCTATAACGATTTTTGGTTCCGATAGATTCTCCCAACTTAGACAATCATGTTTTGAAACTCTTGCCGTTATTTTGAAATGTGCTGGTAAAACTATTCTCCCTTATACCGAGGAAATTATTGGTTATTTAACAACCCATTTCGAACAAGAACCAGTTAGTGTTATCAAATGTATTAACGAATTGTTTTTGGTCACTATGAAACCAACTCCTTTAGTTTCAATAAGTTCGCTATCACAAAAATCCAAAGACCTTAATAATATTGGTGGTTCATCATCGTCATCATCATCATCATCATTAAAACAATACGAACCAAGATCAATTGAAAGCCATTCAAGTAGTAGCAACCCACATGACGAAATGTTTTTAAATTCAAAATCTGTATTTTCATCGCTACTCACTTTTGGTACACCAAATCTTAAACAACATTATGAATATGCTCATGAAGTACCATCATCACATAATATCAACTATAGCTACAGTAATCAAGAGATCAATAGAATCATTTCTGGTGAAGACAGAAAAGTTTACTTTAAACTCTTTGAGCCTCTCATTGTAGGATCAATGGTAGAATATCAAACCACTCATAACCATCACTTAAAGATTGCGATTTTATTAATGTTTAGTAAATTCAGTAAATTTGGTCTTGATTTATCATTGTTTGATAAGGAGCAACATTTCCCAACCTATTTCATCAATGAATTAAAAGAAACCAATTGTTTACTTTCAAAGCCATATAAAGTATTATCTTATAGCTATGATCTATTAGGTTCTATTTTTATTCATCGTAAACTTTACCCAGATTTAAATATTGGCTTGGATGATTTAAAAAAACTATTTTATCAACAAGCTCCAGTTAGTAACCCATCAGCCTCAGCATCTAAAGCAAGTCAATCATTAGACTCAACACCAATGCTTGCATCAAATAATAATATTAACCAAGCATCACAATCATTGAACAATAGCTCGTTATTAAATCAGTCATCTCATCCATACAGCTATACAATCCCAACTATAATCGAAAATTGCCACTCATTTGTAAGATATCTTTATGATCCATTAGATAAATACCCAGACACAGAGTTTAGAGATGGATTTTTAAATTTCCTTTTATCAAATCTTCAATATTCTCAAACCATCGATCTTTTAATATTGATCGTTACATTGATAAAGTCAAATAATCCACTTTATTCCAAATATTCACAACAGATTTCACATCAACTATTTACATCGTTATCACTTGGCGACTCACCATTCTTTATAATAAACTCAATTGAAGAAGTTGAAAAACTATATGTATTAATCGATAAGCTTCATAATTCATCTCTATCAGCTTCAAGATGGGCAGATGCTTTATTATCAGTATCACCACAGTTTGTAAATAACACCAATAAACCAAATACCAATACCCCAACACCAAGCCAAGCAACAACAACAACAACCAGTGATCCATTACAAAGAAAAAGAATACTTTTATTACGCGAATCAATTTTAGAGGCCTATGAGTTACGTTGGTTACCTCCTTTATTAGTAATACTTCGTACTGGTTGCAAATTACCTGAAGAATCTAGAATTTCTGCAGCTAGACAATCAAGATATCTTTCAAATCATGATAATAAACAACAATCAAGCCCAAGTGCCAATATTATAAGCCATGTGATTTTGAAATTAATTCGAAATGCAGTTCAAGTTTTCTCCCTTTACAAACCAAAGAATATTTTATTTACCCAATTAATTAATCATCTCTTGTATTATAGTTCAATCTTTTTCAACAAGAATTTAGTACCCCATATAACTCCATCAACAACTAATGTTACCTCTCCACACTCTACTAGTCCAAATATTGTCAGTAGTACATCACCATTAAGCATGTCATCGCATCTAATGAAGCAACCTTCAGCCACATCACTCTTGGGCATCGCCAGCAACAACCTCTTTACTGATAGCTTAAAGATTATAATAGCAACCAATGAAGGTTCACCAATTATTCACGATATTGTAAACTCTCTTTTATCCTATGGTGGTACAAGTACAAGTATTCATGTCGTAAAATTCCTTTTATTATTGGGCCGTGATGATCAAGTTTGGAAATCATATGCAATGTCTAGTTATTGGCAAACCTGTGGTTGTGAACATTTCTTGACCCATCATATCATATTTTTATTATATTGTCAAGCCATCATCATATTAAAGCTACCAATTGATTTAACAGAAACCTTTTTAGATAAAATGGTATTGCTAATCAACGAGTTTACAATAAAGAAACTTATTGAATCTATTAAAGGAGAATATACCGAAACTCTTACAAATCACCTTAAAAAGATTCTCTCCAGAGCTTCAAATTCATTAGACCTTAGAAAAAAACAAAAGTTACTTCGTTTACTTTCATATTTACCAGCAAACAGAGAAACCATTGAACTATTAATTGTCAATTTTATTCAAACTGATGATATTAGTTTACAAGTTTCAGGTGAACGTATTTTAAATCTCAAAATCAATACATTAATCGAAGAATATGGAACCACCAAGTCATTGGATATAATTCAAGAGCTTTATCAAATATTTATGTCTAATTTTGTAAAATCGACCACAAACCTATCAGTTCAATCATTGTTTTTAAAACTAATAAAAAACCTTTCACCAAATTCAAATATTACCATTACACCAACTATTCAAGTAATAAAACAAGATTATAATAGTAATGATGAAAACCATGAAGAAAAGGAAGAGCATAATGAAAATAAAGATAATGAAGAGCTTATTAATAATAATATTAGTATTGAAAAATTAACTGAATTACAAATTGAAACATTAAAAAGTGGCTATTTAAATGACTATCATCAATTATCAACTATACCTTGGAAATATTTTATAGAACTTATTAAATCAAGATACTTTATTCATATGAACCAACATAGTTTTAACCATATTTCAATTTTATCACAGATCGATAAAGAGGCCACAGTTCAACTTTTAGAATCAAATCGTTTGGATAGCACATTGTTACCAGAATTTATAAGTTCAAATTATAGTTTAGATTATCAAGACGAAATCCAAAACTATTTATTAAAGAAAATGGATAAACTTTTAGCCAAAGCTGGTGAAATTGGTAGCGATCCATTAAAAGGTGGTCCACCTTTCCTTTCTGATCCAGTTTGGGATGAATTAAGAGAAACAACAAGATGCCTATCAAATTTCATAAATAAATTTGGTATTAACGATCTTTGTGAATCAAATTTATTACAAGTTTCAACATGGGCATTTATCGAAAGTTTTAGACGTTGGCGTGCAGAAATCATCAATCCATATGACTTTAAATTAGTATTAGAGCTTTCTCGTTCAATTATTTTAAAGAGTACTGCCTCAATTTTAACAATCACTGATGATTCATCTTGGTGTTCATTATTATTGTGTCTATATAAATTATATTGTCTTGTTATCAGACCTCACTTTGGTTATATTTCTGGTCAAAGAGAACTCGAAGAAAACTTTTCGCAAGATCCAACTCAAATTTCTCTAACCCAATCAAATGAAATGGTTAAATTTTTAGTTTCACTCTTAACAAATTCCAAATCCTATAGTCCAATGCCAGGTTCACACATTGGTCAATTGATTTTTGATAGTTTTATTAGAGCAATTATACCATTAGCAACAAAAGCATTCGACTTTATTTATCCAACCTTAACAGCATCAGATGAAAATGAATTTGGTGGTGGTATTATTCCAAACTGCCCAATATTTTCAAGTATTGTTTCCCCAGAGCAAAATATTCGTGCGTTGGTTAGATTCATTCATTTCGTAGAAATTGATAATGAAGAGAAATTCGGTCAAGTTTGGAGAATTCTAGAGCCAATATTTGTTGCACAATTGGGTGATGCTGAAATTGGAACTGATGAAATTACTGAAGAAAGTAAATGTGTTGCTCTTTCCGGTATGACCTCAATGATTATTAAAGTTTGCTTTGAAATCTCTGGTGTCAACTCTCAAGTTAACCTTTTAGAAACATCCACAATTCCTAAACCAATATACAATCATATTCCACGTGAAAAAGATTTAATTTTCCTCAATACACCAATTGGTAAAAAATTAAACAATCTTTTATCAATTATTTATGGTGGTATGCCACAATCAGAATTACCACTTGGAGGTGGAGTAGGCACTATCGGAACATCATCAACACTATCTGCATATCATTTTAATATAGAAAGATCATTCTCTTCAAATTCTTTTGGTTCTGATCAAATCTCACTTCAAGACCTTCGTCTCTTTAAGGTTCCAAGCTTTATTGGTATTAATTTTACACCTTTAATTAAAAAACTTTTAGAATCGTTTGAGGGTTTCCTTTTGAACCAAATGTGCCCACCTATGTTGAAAAAAGAAATCTTACGTTCAGTTGTTACATTATCAGATTTATTCAATAGAGATCAAGTTTGTTGGATGTTTAGAACGTTCCAAGCCATTATCACCACGGATGAAATCGATGATTTCTTTTTAAAACAACATTTAATTTTAGGTATTTGTAAGAGTATTGCAATTTTACAACATCCACCAAATATTGCAGATATTAATGCTCATGCAGTTGGTATTTTTGAAATGTTAAAAGCTGCTTTAGAACATCCAAATATTTCACTTCAAGTTTCAGCACTCGATGGCATTCTTTACTTATTAGAAGGTAAAGTTAATAAATATATTCAAGGTCCATTATTACAATATCTCTTTAGATGGATTCCAACCCGTCTCTCAAGCTCACATTCCCCACCAGTTAGTTTGACACTACGTGTATTAGCAACTATGTTTTTAATGATTGAACAGTATAGTAGAGAAGCTGAAGAAACTCTTTTCACCAAACGTGCAGTTACAACATGTATCCAACTAGGTCAACAATCATCAACTCCAGCCCCGATTGTATATGGTGTATTTAGAGGTTTAGATCGTTTATTAGGCTCATTCTCTTTATCTCACTCTCAACGTGAATCAATTTCTCAATTCTCTTTGAAATCATTACCTTCAGAAAATCCAATTCGTTCGTTATTAGCCCTAGGTTTAATGGTTACTTGTATATACACAGGTGATGAAACTGGTATCACATCTCCATCAAAATCATCAGTTTCATCTATTGGCAGCAGTGGTATCAACTCTTTAACTGCATTCGAAGGTTTATCATTTAATCCATCAAGTGATTCTCCTTTAAACTTTTCAGGTACTAGTAGCAGTAATGGAAGCATTAGCAGTATCATCAACAATCACAACATTAACAATAACGATAGTGATGATAATAGCGATCCAGAAAGAAATAAATTCTCTCGTGTTAATAATATGGAAAAGGTTAAAATGCTCTTTGATAAAATTCGTTTAGTCTCTCATTTCTCTTATGAAGCCTATGTTTTATCTCAAGTCATACCAACTGTAATTATCGATCTTTTCCCAAGTGTTGACCAATTACTGTCATTTATTTTAGGTGAATTCCTCAAACAAAGCAAATCTAATCCAAAACTAATGTGTCAAATAATTAGTAAAGTTTTCGATTATCTATTAGAAAACGATAAAGATAAAACAAATCAGCACTTGATCAACTATTGGATTATAATTTGTTTACAAAACTTTTTCCAAATTCAAAATCCAAATCATTGCTTATGGGCCTTAACTTATTTATTTTTAACTTCCTCACCTTTAAAATCTTTTAAACTATTGTATGTATCATCACTTTAAAAATATAACTTTAAAAAATTTAAAATATTAACTATTTTTTTTTTTTCTTTAGAGAATCTGAATTTGCCTCTAAAATTCAAACTAATGAAAAACTATTTTTAATTATTGCAGCAGAATTTTATTTTAACAAAGATTTGACAAAAGAAAACAAACAACTATTTAAAGACTCTTTTTCAAAATTAAAATCTGAACCCTATATTTCTTTAATGAAAGTTATAAAAAACCAATAAATATATTTTATTAAAAAAAATTATTTAACTTTTTTTAATTTTGGATACATCTAATGATTAAAATTATCGTTATCTTCAGTTTTTACCAATTATCGTTTGCGTATTCATATTTGTTTTTTTTAATAAGTGAAGATGATTTTTAAGAAAAAGATCAACAGAAGTTAAATCAAAAGCTCTGGGCCATATTTTATTTTTTGTCTTTATAAAAATGTTATATACAATTATAACAAACGAAAAACACAATTGTGACTGTTAATATTAAATTATTAAATCAATAAAATCCCTTTTATATCACACTTTAAACTTAAATAATAGATGTGCAAATATTAGACAAAACCGAAAACTAAAAATAAATTAAAAAAAAATATATTATTATTTTAAACATTTTTAATTTTATTTTCTTTTTTAAATATTATTTACCATAACCTTTAATAATAATATCAAGTGATTGTGATATTTTATTGTTTTGTAATTGTTGTATTGAAATTAAATTGATACCAAATTGGCTGTCTACCCAATTCTTTAATTGAACAATAACTAAACTATCGAGACCATACTGGTTTAAATGGAAGTCCAAATTGAGATTTGATTCTTCAATTGAAAGTAGTTCTGAAATTTTATTCAAAAATTGCGATTTAATATTTTCATTACTGTTACTATAATCATTTGATTTGTTGATTACTTTAACTATATTGGTTTGATAGTCAAATTTATAAAGATTGAAATTTGATCTAAAAGAAACCATGTTTTCAAAACCAAAATCAGATAAACAATAGTTTGAATAATTGTTTTTATCTTGAATGAAGAGGTCTAATGAGCTTAAAATTAGTTGAGGTGAAATAAGTTTTAAAGCAGAACTATGGAACATTGTTTCGATTGCATCATTTCTTGAAACAAATCCAGTAGATGATACTGCACCTAAATTTACTGATAGTGATGGTAGTCCAATTGATTTTCTATATTTTGATAATGAGTCAATTGTATTGCAAGCACTAATATAACAACATTGTCTATCCGAACCAAAAATTGAAACTGCCGAGGATGCCATTATAAATTGTTTTATTTTCCATGAACGTTGAATTGATTCATTGTGTAAATTGAATGCTCCAATTGTTTTTGGACCATGTGTCATATTTAAACCATTCATATTGATATCTTTAAAATCACAAATCTCATTTACAAATGCAAAGTGAATTACTGTATCGATATTTGTAATGTTTGAGTTTGATTCTAGATTGTTTAATACATCATGAACTTTATTACTATCTTCGATATCGATTTGATTAAAGTGGAAATTAATTGTATTGTCTTTTTGATGTTTAGTTTGATTGATTAATAGTTCTAATTCCCATTTTAATGGTGATTTTGATAAAATTATAATATTATCGATTGATTTGTTCGAATATTTAACAAGCCATTTCATAATTTCTAATATAATACCTGTTTGACCTGTTACTAATATGTTTTTACCGATATCTAATCTTGATATATCATAACTGTTTTTCATAATAATCGAATCACTTTGTTTTTGTTCATTAAATACTCTTGATATTATGTCTATATCATGATTAACAACGATTTTACCAATGTGCTGTCTTTTATTAATATATTCGATTCCATCTTTAAATTGATCATTTGAATACTCAATGATTGGAATTAGTTCTAATTTATTTGAATTAAACAATTTGACTACTTTTTTTAATAAACTTTTAAAAAATGGTCCCGAAAATTCAACAAGTTCTACATTATTATATCCATAGTTGTATTTAAAGTGATTGTTTGTCATATAATCATTTGGTGTTAAATGTGTAATTGAAAGATCTACAATTCTACCACAAGTATTTAAACATTGGAAATTTGAATCCATATATTCTGATGAAAGTGTATTTAATATTAAATCTACACCTTGATGATATTCGTCACATTCTAATTGTTTTAATTTATTTTTAATTTGATGAACATAGTTTTTATTTCTTGATGAATAGATACCAGTAATAAATGAGCCATATTTATTAATCAAGTATTCTTCTTTATCTTTTGAACCGACTGTTAAAAATATATAACCTTTGTGTTGTTTACACTTTAATAGTTCTAATGATGAAAGACCAATACCACCTGATGCTGAGTGAATCAAAATTGTTTGATCTTCTTGTAAATTACCAGAATAGTATATACTGTGTAATGATGTAGTATACACTGATGGAATTGATGCTGCTTGTATATGTGAGATATTAGATGGTTTATAATAAACATATCCATAATCCAATATAATATGTGATGCACTAGTTTTTGAAGCAACTCCAAATACTTCATCTCCAATTTTAAATTTCTTAACACCAGTACCACAACGAGTAATAATACCACTAAAGTCATTTCCAATATTTGGCATTTGATTAATTCCATTTTCAATTTCTTCTTCTTTGCCATATTTGATATCAACACTATTTGATATTAGACCAATATATATTAAATAGTCTTTATAGTTGATTCCGGTACCTTTTATTTGAACTTCAATTTCATTTGGTTTTAATTGTTGTTTTTTAGTTTTTAATACATATTCTAAGTTTGGATCAAGTTGAATCAATAAATTATCTTTATTTGTTTCGAATGAGTTTGATATAAATGATTGTTTAATTTTTGTTTGTTTTTTGTATCTTTCATAATATACTGTGTTGTTTTTAATTGTAAACTCTCTTTGAATGTTTGTTGTTGGGTCTATTAATATATCGATAAGAGAGAGTATATTTTCATTTTGAATTGAAATATTATCGAAATCTAATGAATATAAATCTAATTGTGGGAATTCTGCGAAATATCTTGCTGCTCCATTGATTGATGATGATAAATAGTTGTTTGTTGTTGAATTTAATAATATTAAAAAATGTTTAAAAAATGTTTGAATTTCTAGTTGAAGTAACATTTGATTAATTTGAATATATTCAAATGTTATTTCTTTAAAATTATTGATATCTAATTGATCAATTGCTTTCATAAAGATTATTAATGTTTTACTTTGTCTAATGGAATCGATTGATTTAATACTCCAGTTGATAAGTTCATTAAAGTTATCAATTTGTATTATTTTTGAACTTAATTGTTGATTTAATTTGAATGATTCACTGATTTTCTTTCCATTTCTACTATTACCAAATAATATAATATTATCATGTGATGTTAATTGTTTCATTGATTCAATATTTGATAATACCATTTCATTTATATTTGATTTTCTTGTTTGAATTAAAAATGAGGCATTATCATTTCCAGATATTGTTGTATCTTTATAATTGCATTCGTGTAGTAACTTGCACCAGCTTTCTTGTTTCATACAGCTTCTATCTTTTCTGATATCGATATCCTCTGGTGATGGCCACCATTGTGGGAATACACCGAATATGGAGTCAATATACAATGATTTATATGGTGCTTCAATAAATATAATTTGACCATTTGGTGTTAAAATATTATGGATTTCATTTAAACTGAACCTAAGTTGTTTTACCACATGTAATACATTTGACATTATAACAATATCATAATAAGATGCTTTTAAATCTTGATCTATTAATGGCTTTTCCAAATCAAGAGGACGATATATTATATTTACACCTTTGATATTTGAAAGTTTTTCTTTAATGTCTGAAAAAAATGATGCTGAAATATCGCTCCATGTGTATTCTATATCGATATTTGATGATGGATTATCATTTAATAGTTTGTTGATTTTATTTAATACCAAAATTGATAATGAACCTACACCACCTCCAAATTCTAATATTCTGAATACTATTGGTAAATTAATAATTGGTTTGATTGATTCTGAAACAATATCACTTAATAAATTGTTAATTGGTTTTAGTATATTTGATTTTTGATAAAAGTTATCTAATAATCCATCTTCAAATAATGATTGAGCAGTGTCAGTGTTTGGATCATCATCTTCTAATGGGAATATTTGTTTTGCCATAACTTTAGTTGTTTTTTCTAAAAGCTTTATATGGTTATCTTTATTTCCGTCAGGAAATTCATTTAATTGTTTATTGATACCTAAACTATTATATTGTTTTAAAATATCGAAAATAAAAAAAAATAAATTTTCATTTACCTCTTCATTATGATAAAGTTGTTTGAATTGATTAAAATCTATTGTTGATAATGTTTCTTTATTGATTGTTGGAAGTCTTTGATTAATATTATAATAAAATAATGTTAATAAATGTTCTTTTGATTCTTTTTGTAGATAAATTTCATCTATTCCCAATTCTTCTAATTGGCACAAGTAATTGAATGATTTTGGTTTATTGATGATAGAGTCTTTTGATTGTTGAATTGGTAAGTAGATTTCATTAGATGGTGGTGGAATAATTGTGGTATTGTCAATGATTGGTGTAAGTGATGTACAAATTACATTTGAGATTTCAATTAATAATGTTCCATCATTTAACATTATTTGAATAGATCCAGAGTATGAGTATAAATTGATTCTTGATTTCATTTCAGAATATACATATATTTCAGAATGTTGTTGATCAGTTGGTGATGGTATATTTGATGAGTAGTATTTTAATCCTTCGATTTTATCTAATACAATTTGACATTGATGTTTGATAAAACCAAGCATTCCATGTAAACATGTATCTAGTATTGCAGTGTTAAAGAATGATTTCATTGTATCGCTGTTAAGTAAATGATTGAATTCATTTTGATTTTGAATTTCATTTAATGATACAATAGATAGAGAACAATTATTACCAACATAGCATTCTTTGACACCTTGGAATAAACCTTTGTATGTTAATCCGGTTTTGATTTTAATTGATTCGTAAAGCTCTGATTTTGATAGTTTAGTAAAGTTACATTTATTTCTTATTTCATCAATATTTATTCGATTTATTTCGTTACCATGTTTGAATAAACTAAAGTTACCAGCAGAACATAATATCCAATGATTTGAAATTGTATCTTTAAAGTGTGATTTGACATTGTATTCATTTTTTGAAAGTGTATTAATA